AGCTGGAAGATCGCGAGGCTGATATCTTTGAACGCTTGAAAAAGAAATTTGATCATAGTTGATGTTCATATTTTTATTTTTAATTCTGATTAAGTTTTAAAAATTGCATTTTGATCATTTTGAAGGAGATACAATTGCCCTAGAATTCTTGTTATACACAATTACATGAAAAGCACAATAGTAGGAAGCAAATTCTAATGCATAGTATTTACCAAGAGTGTTACACACTTGTATTTCCTCAATAGCAGCACTAGAAGTACTGCACACAGAAATTATAAAAGTGACACTTAAGTGCCAAAATAAAATAGACTAAACCACAAGTTGATGCCCTAGTTCCATGATTATTTATTAGTTTAAGTTGTTTGTGGTTGCCTAATTGATGTGTGAATCATGCATATATACTGCACGTATACATTGTAGCTTATCATTACTTGTATGGATCTCATTCCAGCAGCCCAAACCAATGGAAAAATTTACAGCAAAGGTGAGCTCCTGCATTTAAATCTATAGCCATTTGTGTACTAACTCGTCCATTTTCTATAGATTATAATTTTTGTTCTCTTAGCCTTGGTTGTTGCTTATTGTCAAGAGAGTGAAGAAGATGCAGCTTACTACGTGACAGCTACTGGTAATGATTGCCCACCTCACACACAATGTCATTCCATTCAATACTACACTAATGTGTCTGACTGGGCAATTGACAGCATCACACTGATCTTCTTACCAGGTGAACACATGCTTGAAGGATCCTTTTCAATAAAAGGAATGAGTCCTGTAATATTGAGAGGAGCCTCACAATCAGCAAATTATGGTGATCGATTAGCAACAATAAAGTGCAAATATGTACTCATCACTGATGTTTTTTCGCTATCTATTGATAATCTTAATTTCAATCATATTGAGTACAGTCGCCTACATCTTCGGGATATCTCATATGGAATCATTTCACAAACATCGGCACAATTACTAAATATCAACCAAGGGTATTACTTGACTATTCTTCAGTCTCAATTCATAGTGGATTATGGTTTAGGAGATGGGGTATCCAGATCCAGCATTTTTTTGTACAGTAGAACTGCTGTTATTGTCATGAATGAGACCCTCGTTTCAACAGTCAATGGAAATTGCTTATGGCTTGTTGCTGATTTTTGTTTGGAGATCAAAGTCATGAACAGTCGCATGACATGCTCAAAAGGATTAAATATTCGGGCCACTGCTTCATGCCCAGCAGCTACAAGTATAGAATTTAACAATGCTACAATAGACAACAGCATGCAGGCTACAAGATATGGTTACGAGCCTCAGATTGGAGTTACTTATAATGGCAATGTGAGTTTCACTGACATCAAACTGGTTAATATAGGCCAATTAAGTTTAACTAGTGTTGGCACATTGTCTCTCTCAAGAGTATCGATTACAAACACATCCAGTGGCTTACAAATTGATAAATGTGGCCATGAAGTTAACTTATTTGATGTCTCTGTGATCGGTACCAGCCATATTGGATTGTCCATATCAAATTGCAACAGAGAAGGAAGCATTAATTTAACTCGTGTTTACATATCACAGAACCATCGTAGTGGATTGGAACTCTATAAAATACAAAGGAAAGTTTT